CTATCAGTGTCATCCTCAACCATCAAATCATTACAAATTTCTTTACCTTTTGACTTAGATGTGTCATTAATGACAGATAACTGAGAACAATCGATACTTTCCTCTTCCTCAATTTCACTGATTTCGCTAAAACTATCAGAATTATCATCGATATCAGCAAAATTAGATTGAGAGTCAAGTTTCGAATTCTCAGTTCTTTTGAAAATATTGATTTGTTCACTTTTGGTCAAAGTATCATTCACTATCTCAACAAGTTTATCAACATTCAAATATTCGTCTATCTTAACAATACCATAAGCAAATCGATTATCAGGCACTTTATCGAATTCTGCTATGGTTTTCTCACAATCATAGGACAAACTATCAACTTTCTCTCTTTCGAAAACAAGAAAAGGCAACAATTTCCTATGTTGTTCTTTGCTAATGTCAGATGAATGATGCAATGAAGTCAATTTAGCATATAATCTTTTTGCTGAATTACAGTAAATGTTTCGCTGAGCAAGTAACATTCGAACTTCATTATCTAGACATTCCCTATCATTATTCACATTATTCAATTGCAATTCCAGATACTCTACTCTGCTTCGTTTCGAATCTAGCAATTTTTGGGTCTCTAGCAACTGGATGTTTAGTTTCTTAGCTTCATTACTAGCAGACACCATAATTGTATCAAAGTAAGCAACAGTATCATCAAATGCAATTATTTCAGAATCATAAGCTTGTAAAGGAATGTTAAAAGACTGAACAATAGAACGTACCTTGGTTCTCATTGGTGATTTGTCTCCTGATTTGGTCATGAAACAACGACCAGTCACCATTTCGTCCTTATCCTCTTCAAATTGTGCGAACATAGCCCCATGCGTCGGATTACGCATCTCTTCGTCATCAGATCCTGAAGACCAGATCTGATACGTGCCATCTTCCTCACCTTCACCTCATGCAACCAAAGACGTTACCTTCGTCTTTGCACGAACTTCTTCCAATCTTTCAACATAATAGGTTTCGTCCTTGACCCTATTATTTTTCTCTTCTTTCTTACGAAGCATACAATCATTTGCCAAATGATTTGCTCCGTTGCAGTAATGACAGTCAATGCCCGAATCTCCCTTAAGTTTCTTCTCAATTTTGGCTTCAGTTGCCTTCACATCATTCTTCTCGAATTTCTTCTTCTCCTCACCCACAGACTTATTAATGAAACTTCCTTTCACATCACTCTGCTTTTGAAAGGTTTCTTGAAAAACTTTTTAACTCGGTTCTTTGAATAAAAAGCAATCGCTTCAGCCATCTCATTCACTTCACTTTCGTGAGTTTTCAACTGATTATACAAATCATTTAAGATGAAGTATCGAAGCTTTGTTGATTCTTCACCATCATGCTGACACTTCTCCACTCCTTACGAAGTCCCATCACAAAAGTGAGATTGAACTCCATTGATGACCTTATTATTCCATAACGATTGCATCTATAGATCAGTTCATTAATACGATCATAGTAAACTTCAATCGTTTCATTCTTTTTTTGTCTGAACTCTTTCAGCTCCACAAGACACTGCTTAACATAATTTATCTTCGTTTTCTCGCTTCCCTGATATTTTTTCTTAAGAGTATTCCAACTTTTCTTTGCAGTTTTACAACCACGAATGTAATTGTAAACAACAGGTGGCAAGACACCTCGCAATTCTCTCAAACAACACTTTTCGTTGTTCTTCAGCCTGGTGGATTGATCAGAACTGCAGCTATTGATCCAGATGATCCAATATTTTGAACATTCAATGGAGGTTGAGCGATTCCTGTAATGCAGCTCCAGAGTTCCTCGTCCAATCCGTTCAAGTAGTCCTCCATTCGATCAGCCCACTGATCATAGTACTCTGGAATCAACATAGGAATCTTCGTAGAAGATCCTAACAGATGAGAAAATGAAGTCATAGTGTTCATGTTGAAATTCGACATTAACGTACGGATGAGATTTTTCAAAAGAACTGGAAAAAATTTGAAATTAAGTGAATGAATTGATCAGAAACTCAAAAAGGATTACCCGATTACACAATTCAAACGCAAAATCAAATCAAAACTGTAGATCAGAGATGATTTTCGGAATCAAAAAGTGCGGAAACTTTTGAGACAAACTCGCGACTCAAAAACTAGAGATTCAATTGAAAATCAAATCTTCACAGTATTGATTCTTGCTCTGATACCAATTGTAGTTGTGATTAATCGAGTATGAGAATCAAATCAGAGTAAAAGATGAACACGATAAGTAAATAAGGTCTGGTTCAGTCATATTACTTTCAGAGAACAAGAGTACAAAACTGATAGTAAACATGGAAAAACTCTACTATCAACTCTATGTTCAACTCCTATTTATAGGAGGCTGAAAGTACAAAAAAATACTAAGGCTAGACATTAAGCTTCGTCAAAAAGAAGCCTTTGCAAATACATAGAAAACATACGAAAGTGAAAAATACACAGACTTCGACATATTACAAGATATTTCGACTCTACAGAACCCCAGCCTTTTTCTAGAAGTGTGATGCCTGATGTGCAACAATGTCCCAGAAACTACACATTTTTTGCTCTTGCGATATAGATCAACTTCTAGCTTTTAGTAGCCGTACGGTAGTGTCTTAACACCAATCTAATTTCATGTCATCAAGTATGCAGTGGGTTTCAAGGCTTTGATACTATAACTAATAAACTCCTCGTGACAATCATTAGTTATTGGTTTTGGTACATCTGGCAGTTTATGGAACAACTTGTGTTTGATGAAAACAATCTAACGTTACAAATCTTTTATTCTCGATTGTGTACCATTCCTTCTCTTAGATTTCATGTAGAAATAGAGGTTCTAACCTCTCTTGGTCGGATTGAGTGAAATACCCAAGCTTTGCTTTAATCGACTTGTAATGTTCCATTTTCTCTAGTTTCTTACTAGAGTTATTTTAATTGATTTTAGTTGGTGAAACAAATCAAATGAAAATAACATGCGATAAAAGAAATACCGGAAAGAGAAATTAAAGAACTAAGTACTCACATGAGCAAAGTTTGTTCTTTGAAAGTTAAAATATTCATTAATTATTTCTAAATTTTTAATCTGAAAACTCAACATAATATAATAAGTTATCCTATTTATATATGAAACGGTAAAATAAAATATAATTATATTAATTCTTAAACTAAGAGTTAAAGTAAACCCTAAATGGTAAAAATTTGTGTTAGTTAAATTTTTCTTAAAATTAACTCAAACTTGTATGTAAATGTTCAAAAATCACTTCAACACCACTAGACTAACTAGTTTGTTAGTCCATGATGATATATCGATTCGCTGTAATATTCTTTCAATTCGCCTATACTACATTATTTTCTGATCTTGTTTGATCACTATTGTTATTTGATCGATCGACTAGGGGAGCTTTACATCCCCAATGATATTTTCTTTGCAGAAGAAGGAATTTGGGAGTAAACCTTCAATTTTTACATAAGAAAAAAAAAACATCTCAATTTATGTATGAGGTGGGGTTATATGGATGAAGGTATAATTGAATAGTATATATGCTCAAAGTCCAAACATCTTCACTGAGTTCACCTTCTTACCTTGCGGATGAGCTAGGTGCAAATTGTTTGTTTCCACCGGCTTAATAGTCATAAGAAGAAAGGTGTCCTCTTAAATTGGGCTATATATGTGTAGTGGTGACCCCGTTACCAAATATCACACTTGTTTGTATATCCAGCTTCTTGCTAGCACTTCAAATTAATAAAATAGCTTGGTAGAAGTAGTAGGTCATGAAGTAGAAAAAAAGGAATGCACATAGTTTCGGTACATAGAATATATATATACATTTTAATTAGGAGGATTAAAAATAATCCCCTCATGGCTGTTATATATATGTAGTATATATGTGTTTTGTGCTCTCCCCCTAGCTCCTTGCTAGAGTGGTTTTCTTGAATGAAATTGTTGTTATATATACATTTTAGGTCTTGGGAGAAATTTACTTTGCATTTGATATCCTTCTAGCGAAAACTCTCGCTAAATTTTAAAAGACCAAAAATACTTGTAAGCTTTTCAAACGAACCCTTTAAATTATAAAATTCTGTAAAAGATAGCGATGATAATCGAAAAAGAAAAGAGTGACGGAAGAGTGTGTTGTCTTTATGAAATGGTGAAAAGATACGAAAATAAGAAGAGATGGCAGATTGTGATACCCCACCCTATAACCCCCGCCCCCCCTCTCTCTCTCTCTCTCTCTCTCTCTCTCTCTCTCTCTCTCTCTCTCTCTCTCTCTCTCTCTCTCTCTCTCTCTCTCTCTCTCTCTCTCTCTCTCTCTCTCTCTCTCTCTCTCTCTCTCTCTCTCTCTCTCTCTCTCTCTCTCTCTCTCTCTCTCTCCTCTCTCTCTCTCTCTCTCTCTCTCTCTCTCTCTCTCTCTCTCTCTCTCAAGCCCCGCCTCTGAGCTGCATGGACAGCAACTTCCCCTCCCCCACCACCTCTTAAAAAAAAGAATTTCTTACCATATATGATTATATTATTCTTTTTTGTACACATTGGTGAGGAAAATCAGGAATTCTTTTCAAGAGAGGAGAGAGAGAGGTCTCTATATTGTATGTATGTACGTACGTATTTAGGTTTGTATGTATATATACAAGATAGCAACAAATAATTGAAGAACAAGCAAATAGAGACTGCCAAACAAAGTTACTATTATTATATGAAAAGAAGAGTAGGAGAATCGGTACAAGCACAGGAGAAAAAAAAAACAGGTCTTATTATACAGTCTATGAATTCAACCTTTTTTCTCTCCACTTTACTAGTTCCCCGGATTTTAGCGGTTTCATGATATTCTCTTCTCTTTGTGCCATATGTAAGATATAATCCTGTCCTTTTCGGGGTTTTTCAAATCTTGCAGGCAGTTTTTGTTAAAAGATTTGTTGAATCTGATGAAGCTGGTGATGGTTTAAAGATTCATATGATCAAGGGAAACTGAGTTTGTTAGCTTCAGTCTATAAGAAATGGCAGCAGCTTCTTCATCAACTTCATTTTATGGGGCAAGATCAGACGAAGAACAACATGTTTCTTCAATACCTACATCTTCTGCAACTATTCAATCAGCAGCAGCTCAACAGAAGAAGAAGAGAAGCCTTCCAGGAACTCCAAGCAAGTACCCAAACAATTATCTTATTTCGTGCTTTTCGCATGTTGAATTTTATAATTACAATTCATTTTTGAAAAACAATGATTAATTCATTCATCCTCTTTCAATCTTTGAAACCATTGTTGAGTTATGAGTTAAAGAAGCAATCAGTTTGTTTTGATTAATTGTTCTCTTTTTGTCCTCTATGCTTTCAATGAGAAAATCTTCTATGGAAAACCCTAATTTTATAAAGTTATGGTTACTATTCACTTTTACTAATTCTAATCATTTTTAAACATTCATAGCATGTGAATAGACTTCATGAGCGAAATAAATCTGTATTGGCTCCTTTGTGTATAACCAAAATGTTAAGTATCTTTTGTAGTTTTGTATATTAGTTTTCAGTTTTGTTCTTCTTCTGTTTTTGTTTTTTCCAAATAACTTTGGGTTTTCTTTGAATCGAATCTAAACAACAGATCCAGATGCGGAGGTGATAGCGTTGTCACCAAAGACCCTAATGGCAACAAACCGGTTTATATGTGAAGTATGCAACAAAGGGTTTCAAAGGGAACAAAACTTGCAACTCCATAGAAGAGGACACAATCTACCATGGAAGCTAAAGCAAAAGAGCAACAAAGAAGTCAAGAGGAAGGTGTATCTATGCCCAGAGCCTTCATGCGTCCACCATGACCCTTCTCGTGCATTAGGAGACCTCACTGGAATCAAGAAACACTATTCCAGAAAGCATGGCGAGAAGAAATACAAGTGTGAGAAGTGCTCCAAGAAATATGCGGTTCAATCTGACTGGAAGGCTCACTCTAAAACTTGTGGCACCCGTGAATACCGATGCGATTGTGGCACCCTTTTCTCAAGGTATATAATACATTAATTCCTCTATATTAATTCTTTTAGTCGTCCTTTAATTTTTTCTTTAAAAAAAATTAGAATGTTGAGAAATATATAATTCGTTACATGGGTCAAAATTGAGTTGAGAATTGTTGGAAATATTCCATCGATGATTTCAACTATGTGTTTGAGTGTGTGTTTTTAGCTTTGATAAGATGCTATATTTTCTAGGGAAATACGCCACCTTACAAGATGTTTTTTTGGGACGTAGTCTGTAGTCACGTGGATGTCAGTAGACAATGGTAACGGTGAGGGTCTTTGCTGTATATTTGTTGTCTTATGGAGTGGATACATCCACACCGGTGGTATGCTCTTTGCTTCTTGCGGGCTGTCTGTCTCACCCCTCGAATATTTTCTGAAAATGAAGAAAGAAATGAAAAGAGAAGAGTGCAATGATTTACAAAAAAGTAACGATTAACCATTTTTATCTTTTTCATCACAATATAGGAAACACTTTCAGGACATCAGTAATATGGAATCTTTTTAATTTTATTGCTCCTTTATAGAATTGATTACTCAAAGTAGACAAGAGCCAACTTTTTATTGGAAGTAGAGACAAAGTTCTTACGTAGTATGGTTCATATAACTTTGCTGTAAATCTATAATTATTTATATCATTTTCTACATTGAAATATCGATAGTCGTCATCTTTTCAGACACTATCATCATCATCATATTCTGCTTGATACAGAGAAGAAATATTGGTACCCGGATTGTTAGATTCCATTTTGACGAGTGACATACATTTGTATATATAATCAATTAATCATCATGATTCATGCATGTCATGTCTTTTTCATTGCGTCATTTACCTATTTACCATACATATATGTGTGTACGTATACAATTAATGACCTAATGCATTTTCTTTTATACTCAATGATTTTTTCAGGCGTGACAGTTTTATCACGCATCGGGCTTTTTGTGATGCATTAGCTCAAGAAAGTGCAAGGCATCCGTCAGCTCTTGGCTCTATGGGTAGTCATCTTTTTGGAAGCCATCTTAGTAATTCGATGAATTTAGGTCTTTCCCAATTACATGATCAAAACCACCAATCATCTACTACCAATATGTTAAGCCTTGGGAATGCCAACTTCGAGCAAGTTATGCTCCCACCAAGTCAAACACCTCTGTTCCCACAATCCCAGCAGCAACAAATGGCGAATTCATCGTCTCCTTTCTTTTTATCTGATCCAAACCAAGGGTTGAACCAAGTGTTCGATTATGATCAACAAAACCAGCAACATGGGTTAATGGGAAACAAGCCAAATATTCATGGGTTGATGCAACTTCCTGACCTACATAACAACAATACCAAAATCACTCCTAATCTTTTCAACTTAGGGTTCTTCTCAGGTAGTAGTAATCCCACGAATGGTTTGAAAACCAGTGACAACGATACCCAAAATAACTCGAATATGTCATCTTCTGGTTTCATGCTTCCTGATCATCAATTCAACAACGGAGGTGGAAGTCATGACATGTTCCTCAACAGTAATAATCCGCATCAAGAAAGTCAAATGACACCCCACATGTCTGCTACAGCCTTGCTGCAGAAGGCAGCGCAGATGGGTTCTACCACAAGCAACAATAACGCAACCACACTGTTGAAAAGCTTTGGAAGCTCTTCCACGGGCACTGTTGGTGGTGATGCAAAAACACATACAGGTCGCCAAAGTCTATCTGCCACCAGCTTTGATGTTAGAGGAGACCAGTCTTTACAATCAGAGATGGAGAGTGATAATCAGCTACAAGGACTTATGAATACTCTTAGAAGTGGTGGAGCTCCATCTATGTTTGATGGGTATGGGGGGAATCGAAATAGAAACATGAATTTTGGGAACATGAATGAGGCTAGCAAGTTTAATCAAAACAACTTCTCTTTAAGTGTTGGAAACTCGAATAGAACGACTCTTGATTTTCTAGGTGTGGGTTACTCGCAGAGAGAACAACAACAACAACCACAGCAGCAACAACAACAACACCCTGGTCGTATCAACATAAGTTCACTGGACACAAAAATGGATTCATCGTCAACCCAGGCAAATCATGCACATGGTGGATCATCCAAACTGCAAGGAAACTGATTAATTTTTGTGGGTTTTCGTGGAAAGGAAAATCAGAAAGTTCAAATCAGCTGAATTCGAGATCTTTGAAAGTGTACGAAACTTGGGATAGTTCCATCAGTTATTATTTTCAATTAGTTAAAATTCCATTAATATAAACATGCTATATTGAACAATTCCATGATATGGATTTGCTTTTAATTAAACTCCAAGCTCTCACTCACATGGATGTGGGTTTAATTTATCTGAATATTTCATAAATTCAATTGTTGCTTGTGAAAATTTCGGATTTGTAGTGTACTACATCTAGGGCCCCTAGGTAACATGGTGTGTACCTGCCATTTGACAAGAGTTGTCTTCATATATTTAGAAGGGAGCGATTAAATAATTTATTTTAAACATCCCAAATTCTTGTCAGACAAGAAACATGTAGTCCTTTGTCTAACGTATCTACATCAGCTCTCTCTCTCTCTCTCTCTCTCTCTCTCTCTCTCTCTCTCTCTCTCTCTCTCTCTCTCTCTCTCTCTCTCTCTCTCTCTCTCTCTCTCTCTCTCTCTCTCTCTCTCTCTCACACACACACACACACACATATACACACACAACAAAGAGAACGTACTACTGCAAGTCCTTTTGAACTTTATAACTAAAAGGAAAAAAGAAACACTAGCTATTACGTACTAAAAGTCACAAGGTTGTACTTGACCGAGTGTAGGTTAGTAGAGCGGTCTGATTGTAGATCATATTAATGATAATATAAGGGTCAATGTGACCTTAAGACCATGTTGGCCTCAAATTGGCAAATGAACGACAGTGATATAGACCATGTTGATGCATACCTCCAGAGGCACTAAGTTAAACAGGCGTCGTCTATCGCATAGGGTACTATGGCAAGAAATCACATATTGCAGTTAAGTTTTTCACTTTATTGTAGAGTTTTTGTCTTTAGGATTTGTCATACAGACTTCAGCTGTATGTATGCTTTGTCTTTTTCTTTACTACATATGAGATCAAATCAATTCGTATCGACATATCCGTCAGAAAATGTGACAGTCCGTTTCGTTTGATTCTTAAAAAAAAATTGATAAAAGATCATCACTTTTATAACATTAGGATATAACAACATCGTTTAAGAATTGACTAGTAATAATTCTTTGTTTTCACTTATGATTTTAATTGAATATATATAATGGGACCAACGTCTAAAACATGAAAAAAAAAATGGAGAAAAGGGTTAGTGACGATAAAACCTGTTAAATTTTGTTATATTCTTTTGGATTTTTCCTTGAGCTAAACTTACAAAAAATTGAACCTAAAATTACACTACAAGAAATTTGGTCATTACCAGCGACGCTATTATCGGCGACACGGAGCTTTAGCGGCGACTCAAGCTTAAGTCGCCGATAAAGCTCCGTGTCGCCACTAATAGCGTCGTCGCTAACGCTCTACGATCCGAATCTGTGGTTACCCCTTCTTGTAAATCTCAACCGTCGGATCAACGTTCTAAACCAATGGTTGGGGGCTCTTCTCGCACAACTTCAATACCGGCAACATTTTGCCGCCGCTAAAGAGTAAAATTGTCGCCGCTAAGGGTCGTTAAAAAAAAAGCGGGATAAATTGTCTCCTGTGATGTCGCCGCTAATACCAAATTGTCGCCGGTAAAAACCTTTTGTCGCCGCTATTGAGTGTCGCCGCTAAAGGTCGACGAAATAAGATCCATCATCAGTATCCCTTTCTTTCTTCCTTCTTGTTCATTCTGATTCGCATGTTCTTTCTCAAGATTCAACCGGCGATCGTTCCCTAGTATACTTTTTTCCCTTCCTCCGCCTTCAACCACCGGCCAACAACCACAACCGATGTTTGCCACCTAATTTCGGCGATGGGTCGGCTACTACCGGCGATTTGAAAGCTTCACCGACGACGGTGACTCTATTTCTTTCTCATTTAACTTCGATTTGCAGCTTATATTCGACATTAATTTCTTAAAAATGGTATTTTTCAGTTTTTGGTGTTTTTGACTGTGTCGCCGACGACTGAAGCTTGATTTTCCGGTCACCATTTTTGATTTCCGGCAACCATAGGTACCTTTCTCCTTTAATTTCGAGATTATTAACAAAAAAGTGTGTATTTCTGCCTATTATGTGAAATTACCCATATTTGTGTATATGTGTATTTGTATGTATGTATAAAATGTGTATTTGTATGAAATGTATATTTGGTGTTTTTATGTATGAAATGTGTGTATATTTGATATATGTATGTGAATCTATGTAAGTTTGGTGTATATATTTGTATTTGGTGTATATATGTGGTATATGAATGTGTATATGTGAATCTATGTAAGTTTGGTGTATATGAATGTGTATATGTGAATCTATGTATATGTGAATCTATGTAAGTTTGGTGTATATATGTGGTATATGAATGTGAAATTTGTGTATTTGGTATAAGTAGGATGTTATTATCTATATATGTGAAAGTATGTGTATTTGGTATAAGTAGGATGTTATTATGTGTGTATGTGAATGTATGTGTATTTGGTGTATATGTGGTATATGTATGTGCAAGTATGTGTATCTAATGCTTTTATGTATTATGTGAAAGTATGTGGTTTTGGTATAAGTAGGATGCTATAAATGTAAAAAAAACCAAAAATAAATTATTGTTTTAATTGGAAAAAACAAAATCTTATGAAATTGTTTAAAATACAATACTATAATTAGGAAAAAAAAACAAAAATAAAATGTTACAAAAATAGTTTCATAAAAACTTTTTTTTCAATGTTTACCAAATTGATTTTGATTTTAGGTCATTTGTTTTTAATATAATAATAAATTATTCTATGAAGCAACTAATAAGCTATGTTAACAAAAAGTTTATTTAACGATTATATATAAAATAAACCAATTATTTATAACTTTATAAAATATACCAAATTGTATAAGTAAAAACTCTACTTTTATGGTATATATATTTAATATATTTTTTCTTCAGGAAATGATGTCGATATGGTGGCTGCTGTTATATGCCGTGAACATGAGGGTGATGGAGCTGAGGACCCACCTTTTCTAGGTGGTAGAGGTGCTGGTCATCATGAGCAGGACCTTAAGTCTTTTTATTCAGTTATTATAAATTAAATACCGTTTCTAATTATTTTTAATTATATTTGTAGTTGAGCAATGTAGGAAAGTCCGAGGCAAATCCAAAAATATTAAGCTTGAAAGAGCGCTCTTACAGAATAAAGGCAAACCGATTAACATGGATTTTGATAGGTATATGACATATGATCATGTAGAAGAGCAGAAAGAAATGTTTTCACGAGATATTGGAAAAATAATGTGTCAGATGGTCCGTTTTGATAAATAGACTTGGAAAAAAAGTTTCACCTGCAATAAATGACATAATTATGACTAGTTTTTACTTGGTTAACTTTTTTTTGTAGAAAAGGTTTGATTTGGATCAGATGTACCGGGATCCAGACGTTGGTATGTTGTCAGATAGTTTTCAAGCAGCTTTGTTAAAAGGTTATCGAGAGCGTTAAAGTTGATGCAAAAGAATATTTTTTGGAAGTCGAAGTGTATGAGGATATCCCGAGAGCATTAGCTAACCCTCGAGATGATATGGATGTTGATAATTGGAAGAAAACAATTGAGTATTTCCAAACGGATGAACACAAAATTGCTTCAAAAAGGAACAAAAAAGTCTGTCAAATGCAAATGACCGTAAATCGTGGGGGGTCAAGCTCGTATAGCAGTACTTGCTATAAGAAGGTAACGTACAATACATGTAATTATTTATTTAAATTATAGTCTAATTTTTAATGTTAAACAGAACCTTAAGAGAGTGGAAACGTTTCGCAAGGCTCATACCGATAGCGATGGTGTATTTGTTACTATCGAGGCGGAACAACAATGCGTAAGTATTTAATTATAATTTTATCATATAATTAAGTGTTTATTTATACTTAATTGCTAATCACTTTTGGGAAATACATAATCGGTTAGTGGAAGAGCTCTTAAAACAAATGCTAGGGTCAGAAGGTGAAAGAGAGTTAACATCCGTTCGAGAAAGAGTTGCTTTCGAGAAAGTATTAGGAGAACGACATGGCCATATCAGAGGCATCAGCCGGAAACCTTCTGCTATCCCGTCGATTTCACAGCCATCGCAACCATTACCACAGCCATCACAACCATCACAGGTAAAACAAGATTATTTAATTTAATAAATGCATGTTGATTTGGTAATTTTTGTTTGTGGTGATTATTTTCTAAAAGCGTTTGTAATTGGTTTTTTGTCCCAAGTGCAACAAATAGCAATGTACTTTGGTTTTTTGTCTTAGTTTAAAAATAGTGATGTACTTTGGTATCAATAAATGCATGTTGATTTGGTAATTGTGCTTTTGTCCCAACTGCAAGATATAACAATGTATTTTTGGTATTTCTTGTATTTTACGTGCAAGAAATAGCAATGTACTTTGGTATTTCTTGTATTTAAGTACAACAAATAGAAATGTACTTTAGTTTTTTGTCTCTAGTTTAAAAATAGCAATGTACTTTGGCATCATAAAATGCATGTTGATTTGATAATTTTGGTTTGTGGTGATTATTTGTTAAAAGCTTTGTTAATTGGGTTTTTGTCCCAAGTGCAAGAAATAGCAATGTACTTTGGTTTTTTGTCTCTTGTTTTGAAATAGCAATGTACTTTGGCATCATAAAAATCCTGATGATTTGGTAATTTTGGTTTGTTGTGATTATTTGCTAAAAGCTTTATTAATTGGGTTTTTGTCCCAAGTGCAAGAAATAGCAATGTACATTGGTTTTTTGTCTCTAGTTTAAAAATAGCAATGTACTTTAGCATCATAAAATGCATGTTGATTTGGTAATTTTGGTTTGTGGTGATTATTTGATAAAAGCTTTGTCAATTGGGTTTTTAGCCCAAGTGCAAGAAATAACAATGTACTTTGGTTTTTGTCTCTAGTTTAAAAAATGTAATGTACTTTCGCATTGATAAATGCATGTTGATTT